ATCCTTTGGATATCTACTGAACATCCCAATATCCACTGAATGTCCAGTCCATGGTGGATATCTATTTTATATCCATGAAATGTAATTTATAGACATGCAAATGTCCATAAATAATTGTAATTATATAGCAAATTATTAAAAAATTACGCCATTGTACTCGCCATTGTGGCTAATAGTACCGTTGAGATATTTAAAATTAATTTTTTTTAAGGTGTATTCAATATCCCATGGACATCCACTATAAATATAAATATATCAAAGTCTAAGCGCGGACGCAAACCATCGTGGATATCTACTAGATGTAATTTTTGATTTTGCTTCCTAAGTATAGATGGCGATACCACTTTCGTATCTACTCATGCTTAACCCGCCGTAATTGAGTTTGATCGACATTGTTTCACAAACAGACTTCATTAGAGACTGAAGTCGAGAAGTTCCATTTACTGCTGAAGATTCCTAATAAGGATGATTTTCTCCTTAGTAGGCAAAATCAAAGGCAGATTGTTGGGAATATTTTTTACCTCTATTTTCTTTCGACGTTATTCAATAACCATTGGTTATTTATGAACCTCTACTAAAAATAATTATAAAATATTTATCTTAATTTCTATATCCTGGGATGTAGACGGACATTTGGTTGGATATCCACAAAATATATTCTATGGATATATCTGGGATTTTTTGTATTGTCTGGAGATACTCATTAGATATTTTGCTGAATATCCATAGGATATCTTCTATATTCTGGATATAGACGGACATTTGGATATCTATATTAGTTCCACGGAATATTTCTGATATCCTGTGGATATATTGGATATCCACAAAATATATTCTGTGGATATCTCTGGGATTTGGTGTGTTGTCTGGGTTTACGGTCATTATCACGTTAGTTTTCAGAGGATAAATGACGTCCTGTATGACGAAAATGAGATGTCATAATGACGTCAGTCTGCTGCCTGGGACTTGGTCACGCCAAGATACTATCTGTATATACACTATCTGAACTTACTCTAGGAATGGTATTAGAAAAGTAAAGACTGTGTTTTGTCCTCATTTAATTTAAGTTTATTGGCCATAAACCACAATTTCGATTTATAATCTATGTCGTCAGAAATCGCCATAAGATTTGAGACATTTTTATCAGAGTAGATGTAAGAAGTATCATTTGCAAACAATACAGAATTAGGTCGTATAAAACTAGGTAAATCATTAATATAAATGATGAATAACATAGGGCCAAGAACAGAACCTTGAGGAACACCATGTTTAATTAAATTAAGGCCAGACTTTGAATTATTGTAGACTACAGTCTGATATCGATTTTTTAAATACGATTCAATTAATGATAATGACGTCTTTCTAACACCGTCCCAGACAGCACACCAAATCCTTTGGATATCTACTGAACATCCCAATATCCACTGAATGTCCAGTCCATGGTGGATATCTATTTTATATCCATGAAATGTAATTTATAGACATGCAAATGTCCATAAATAATTGTAATTATATAGCAAATTATTAAAAAATTACGCCATTGTACTCGCCATTGTGGCTAATAGTACCGTTGAGATATTTAAAATTAATTTTTTTTAAGGTGTATTCAATATCCCATGGACATCCACTATAAATCTAAATATATCAAAGTCTAAGCGCGGACGCAAACCATCGTGGATATCTACTAGATGTAATTTTTGATTTTGCTTCCTAAGTATAGATGGCGATACCACTTTCGTATCTACTCATGCTTAACCCGCCGTAATTGAGTTTGATCGACATTGTTTCACAAACAGACTTCATTAGAGACTGAAGTCGAGAAGTTCCATTTATTGCTGAAGATTCCTAATAAGGATGATTTTCTCCTTAGTAGGAAAAATCAAAGGCAGATTGTTGGGTAATACTTTTTACCTCTATTTTCTTTCGACGTTATTCGATAACCATTGGTTACTTATGAACCTCTACTAAAAGTAAATATAAAATATTTATCTGAATTTCTATATCCTGGGATATAGACGGACATTTGGTTGGATATCCACAAAATATATTCTATGGATATATCTTGGATTTCTTGTATTGTCTGGAGATACTCATTAGATATTTTGCTGAATATCCATAGGATATCTTCTATATTCTGGATATAGACGGACATTTGGATATCCATATTAGTTCCACGGAATATTTCTGATATCCTGTGGATATATTGGATATCCACAAAATATATTCTGTGGATATCTCTGGGATTTGGTGTGTTGTCTGGGGTAATACCACAGCTTTGTGAGAAACACAGTCGAAAGGTCACACAGTTTAATAGCTGTATGTTTGCCACCTCCAAAGCGCTCGACTATGCCATTCACAACCTCTAGAATAGCGTGAGAGTTGAACGTCCTTTACGGAAGCCATATTGGGAATTCGTAAAAAAATATATTTTTCAAAGTAGTTATACAAACGTTCCTTTATCAACTTTTCTATTATTTTGCTAAAAATAGATATTATGGAAATTGGACGAAAGTTATCCACTTGTGAAGTTTTTCCTATTTTATGTAGCTGCAAAACTTTGGAAAACTTAAAAGCGTCTAGAAAAATTCCGGTATTAAAAATTAAATTAATCAGAGTAGTAAGGGGCGTTCCTATAATATGTGCCGTCTCTTTAATAACAAAGCTATTAAGTTTATTTGCATTCAGACAACTGGAGTTTTTTAGATGAGAAATTGTATTTATAACTTCATTTGTTGTTGGTAACAAAACGAAAGAACTGCAACCCAGACAGCACACCAAATCCTTTGGATATCTACTGAACATCCCAATATCCACTGAATGTCCAGTCCATGGTAGATATCTATTTTATATCCATGAAATGTAATTTATAGACATGCAAATGTCCATAAATAATAGTAATTATATAGCAAATTATAAAAAAATTACGCCATTGTGGCTAAGTACCGTTCAGATATTTAAAATTATTTTTTTAAGGTGTATTCAATATCCCATGAACATCCACTAAATATATCAAAGTCTAGGCCTGAACGCAAACCATCGTGGATATCTACTATATGTTATTTGATTCTGCTTACTAAGTATAGATGGCGATACCACTATCACATCTACTCATGCTCGACCCGCCGTAATAGAGTTCGATCGAAATTTTTGTCCTACAGACTCCATTAGAGACTGGAGTCGAGAATTTTCATTTATTGCTGAAGAGTCCTAATAAGGATGACTTTCTCCTTAGTGGGCAAAATCAAAGGCAGAGTGTTGAAAATATTTTTATCTCTGCTATTTTCTTTCGACGCTATTCAGTAATCATTGGTTACTTATGAACCTCTACTAAAGATACCCCTGAATATCCGAATATCTTCTATATCCTGGGATATAGACGGACATTTGGTTGGATATCCATATTGGATATATTGAATATCCACCAAATATATTCTGTGGATATCTCTGGGATTTCTTGTATTTTCTGGAAGATACCCATTTGATATTTTGCTGAATATCCATTAGGATATCTTCTATATTCTGGATATAGACGGACATTTGGATATCCATGTTAGATCCACGAAACATTTCTGATATCCTGTGGATATATTGGATATCTACAAAAGAAGGGGCTGGAAAATTTCTGAAAGTTAGTAAGTCAGTTAATAAAACTGCTGGTAATGATTTTATAATATTCTCTGCCACATCAGAAAAAAAATCGTTAAACTCATTAGGAGTTAAAGAAACATCTGGAGAGCTAGTTTTAAATTTGTTATTTTCAAAATGTATTATTTGCCAACAAGCTTTGGGTTTGTTTTGAGAAAAACATATGTAATTGTCGTAAGCTGCCTTTTTTGTGTTCTTTAAATGATAATTATAGTTTTTTCTGTATCGGTTCCCCGCAGCTGCTTTATTCGCCTGATCTCGGTCCTTCTGACTTTCTCTTTACCCCAAACTAAAAAATGTTTTAAAACGACGTCATTTTCGTACTGTAGAGAACATTCAAAAGAATAAGATGTGCCTCTTAAAAAAAATATCACACAAGTTTTAAGATTTTTTGATCATGAAAAAAATGTCAATGTGAACCATTTATTATGATGATAGTAGCCTTTTAAAGGGGAGAATTTAAATAATAGTTTGTTAGTAGCTGATATAAGAAGCAAGTATATTTTTAAAACTGAACAAATACTATACCTTTCTTATATTTGAGGGTAACATTTTCTTTCGCAGTAAGTAAATTATAAATGGATTCCAATTCGTTAGTTTACATAGCATGAATATCTAACAAAAAATAGACCCATATCCTTATTGATGATATCTATTACTCATGTATAAATCCTACCTCTTAAAATCACTATACTTTGTTGTTTCCTATGGAGAGGTGACAAAAATACATCCTCAGAGACTTAAAGTAGTTGTAGAATGGGTGAGTATAAAAAATAAAAACAAAGTAATTTGGAAAATCACAGGATTCAAAACAGATACACATCAAAGAAAAGATGGGACACTGTTAGTCTTGATATGCAAGAAAGAGGTAAACAAAAAAAAACATTCAATAAAAAGTGATATAAATAATTTATCTTTGAACAGTTTAGTTGAAAGTATAAATTAAAATAATTATACATTCATTTTCAACAGTTATTTAAAATGATTCGAATAGAAACATACACTATATTGTTTACTAATGTTTATACACAAGAGATTCATAAATCATTTGTTCATACAAACGCAGTCATTTATTTAAATTTATCTGATAGGATCGACCAGCAATATCTAACAATAATACTGTTACAAATGGAACCATTATGTCAAAAAACTTATAACAATAGGTAACAATAAAATATGAAGATTTTGATGATTTTGTATAAACATTGTCCAATACAAATATTAAAAAAGACTATATTATTCATACATTTTTATCCAAAAATGTCACAATGAAATAAAGTATATCATTTTAACATTCAACATGTTATATTATCACAGTCAGTCTTGTGACAGCATTACTATAATCTGGATAAGACTTATTCCATAGCATACAGCCTTGTCCATTCCTTTGCTTTAAGCACTGCATCTTGTTCTCTACTTTTCCACATGTTGGCTACATCATTTGCGAGTGGATCATCAGGATTGGGGCTACTCAGTAAAGCTTGAATTGATAACAATACTGTTCTGACTTGTAACGCAGGAGACCATTGGTCCTTAAGAATATCTAAACATATCCTTCCCAATTTGTCAATGTTCGGATGATAAATTTTTGTCAAAAACCTTACATTGGGTGGGGACATTGGATAATTCTCTGGTAAAAATAGCTCTAGTTTAAACAACCCACCTTCATATGGAGAACCAGATGGACCAGCCATAACCACATGAAAATATCTGCAGTTCGCTTCATCAGGTGTTGCACTAATTCCAGGAGGTGGATCCTTTGATAAATTTTTGGTTTCTACCATAATTCGTTTTTTTGAGCCACTTGCCATTACAAATTAAATATTTATAGATTACAACAGAATTATAAATATTGTTTTTCTCACTTGTTGATTTAAAATTTGTTCAATTATCATTAAATATTGTAATCTAACCGGAAATTACAGCTAAAATTACAAAACGAATCCAGATATTTGTCATATGTCAAAAAAACATTATCTTCTTTTCTGAAAATTCAGTGCCTTTTATCAGTAAGAAAGAAAGCCCGCCCTTGGCCTAATATGGCCTAATATGGAGTGAGGATGACCAGGAACTTGTTGGATACGTTGTGGACAGTAGGTAGACTTTTTCATAATTATAATGTATATAAAACATATATAAAAAAAACCTTCGGTTTTTTTACTTTGGCCTTCTGCGTTTCACTTTCTTCATATCAAATATTGCATTCTAGATTCAAATTTCAATATATCTTCCACAGTCACCCTCTAATTGTAAATTTCTTTAAATTTTAACTAATTTGTTAACCTTTTTCAATTTTGTGAATAGTGAGGGTGGCATGATTCCTTAATTCCACACAAGCTATAACTTGCTTTTGGAGATCAGATTTGATTTGTAAGGGCTTACACTATTCCCAATACCAGTTTTTTGTCACTTTGTTTGTTTCTTGTAATTTTTAATTTGTTCAAACAATTGTATATATACTATTTTAACTTAAAAGTCTAATTCAGATTTTATAATATATTTTTTTAAATCTTTTTAAATTGTAAGTTTACATCCACAATTTTTGTAGATGAGCACTGATGATGGCAAATAAGCCGAAAGCGCTTTGCATTGATTAATAAAAAAGTTTTGCACGAAATACAAGTTTTTCCTTTTGGAATCTAAACTACGTGCACACAGCTGTCAACCTTTTTTGGTTTTTTTAATATCTTTTATTACTTCATTTCCATTAACATTTTAAAATCTTGTATAAATATAAAACAAGCACCCATACCACTGACGGACATAGATAGATTTTTTGCTGACGGATTTAAACCTTGAACGGCGAAGGACAGGCTTGATGAAAAGTCGGCTAGTGTGTGACTGTTCCTGTTTCTTGTTGTGGGTTCTTTGAAAAAATCAGTACTCCAATCTTAAAATATATCTAAGGGCCGATTCCACAGTTGTGTTAAACGGAGATTAAAATGACATTGTTAATGTAAAAATGTCATTTTAAATTTCGTTTAACACAGCGGTGGAATCGGTCATCAGACCCCACATACTTTAATATCAAAGTATGTGTCAGACCCCAATGTATATATGCCGCGTTTGAGAATCCACATCGGATGCATTTTTTACATCTCGAGCGTTTTTTTATCCACATCGAACACATCTGTCCCATTACATTTGCGTATACTGAATCACGTGATCAAAGATTTTTTACATCTCAGATGCATCCGATGTGGATTCTCAAACGCAGCAATATAAGGTATATATACATATATGCAACCAGTATATCACCAATATCATAATTCACTTCTAGCCACATACTTTGATTTTCTTAGCACAAACATGATCCTCGTTGCGGCACTACTGAGCATGCGCATTACGTTGTTTTCAGACGATACGACGTCATTAAACAGGACCGGATTTATTTTCAATTTTGAAATTATTTTTTGCTTTTCGTAGTTTTGATTTTAACAAACAGGGCTCTATTCTGTAACTATAGTTGTTATCTGGCAACTTTCTAACCACTTGCTATCTTACCACTTGCTATCTTTCATAGCAACTGTATATCACAACTTTGACAAAAATAGCTGTTCTAGTATTCAGGATTTCTAAATTAGTCTATGTTGGGGTCTATTCTGTAACAATTCCTTTATATTTAACGGCCATTGAGGTCTATTTTGTAACAATTCCTTTATATTTAACGGCCTTTAAAAATATTGACGGCCTATAAAAATATATTCGTATTCGTTAATTTATTTCTGTCATTATTTAAACAGATTTCTTTAAGATAGTCCTCTAATGTATTTTAAAGATCCGTTTAAATAATGACAGAAGTAAAGAAGAAAATATTTTTAAAGGCCGTTAAATATAAAGGAATTGTTACAGAATAGACCCCTTTAAAAATATTGGCGGCCTATAAAAATATGTTCGTATTCGTTAATTATTTACTTCTGTCATTATTTAAACAGATTTCTTTAAGATAGTCCTCTAATGTATTTTAAAGATCCGTTTAAATAATGACAGAAGTAAAGAAGAAAATATTTTTAAAGGCCGTTAAATATAAAGGAATTGTTACAGAATAGACCCCGTTGTATCATACAGTTATGCTACTGACCAAGTTTGCTATGATCAAAGTCAGTTGTTGTATTACCACTTTGAGAAAATCAGAATTCTCTAAGTAAAATCTGTAACAACTAGTGGTTACAAATGTGGATTCAGAGTTATTTGGAAGCAACCAAATATTCTTGATGGTTAAGCGTAACAACTAGTTGCTAAGGACCGATTCCACCGTTGTGTTAAACGAAGTTTAAAATGACATTTTTACATTAACAATGTCACTTTAATCTCAGTTTAACACAACGGTGTAATCGGCTCTAAGAAAGATATATTATGGACCCTGGATAATAAATATTTTAATTGAACAAGAAATTAATAGAAGTCATATTTATTGATGGAATAATAGATATCAGAACTAAATAAATATATTATTTTCTCTAATGGTTTGATTTAGGAATGAAGTAATGTAAGGGGAACACACCTTACAGATATAGATCATATGCAGTAAATATTAAGCTTTGCTGAAGTCCCACTTTATTCCTAAAACAAATCATTAGAAAAAAATATGATAGAAGTTCCGATTATCTTATCAAAAAACGTACCTCCTATTAATTTCTTGATATATTTAAATATTTATTATCCAAAGGTCTATATTTCTTTCTCAGCATCTCAGCAACTAGTTGTTATGCTTAAGCATTAAGAATATTTGACTGTTTCTAAGTCACTCGAAATCCACTTTTATAAGCACTAGTTGTTACAGATTTTACTTTAAAGAATTCCGATTTTTTCAAAGTGGTAACATAACGACTCTTGGTCTAAACCACTTGCTAGCTAGCAACTGCATGATACAATAGACTACATAATAGGTTCTTTCGTTCGTTGTTGGTGCAGTGTCCATCATGTCAATTACACCTTATATACCTAATTTACTTCCTCCTTGTTCCTTATACACATGTTGAGTGTAATTCACTCCTGCTAAATAGCTGGTGGAGAAAATATCCACCAATTGACACCACATCGTCGACGGTAAAAGGTGTAGTGGATTTTACACCGCGTCAAACGAAAGGTTGGCGTTGGTGTAGTCCATTTCTACACCAGGGGAACGAACAAAAGACTCTATGTTGGAAGCAGTCGTTTTATTCCTTGAAAATGGTATTTTTGTTCATATTATATTTTTTTATCAATTCAATCTCTCCAAAATGTAATTCCATATATATTAAATGTGACTCAACTAGAGCGTAATATACACTTTTAGTTAGTTTAAAAACTATTTCTTTGGCCATAGTTCTCACTTCAAAACATTCAGAAGAAAGTTTTTTGTTTAGCAATTTTATATGGTTCTTACATTTCTAATAAAATTATTGTCTGAATTATACTCAAACAAATAATGATTGAGAGTGAAAGCAGGTAGAAATACGACCAAATCGGAGGCGTGCTTATTATTTTTGAGAGGGTACAATTATTTAAAATATTCATACAATTTCTTTTATTTATTTCATGAAAACTTTGCAATATCGTAATTTACCTAATCGTTGTAGTCATTAGTGGGGCTTTATGAAAACGGAGTAATAATTGTGGTAATTATAGTAGGAACCAAATAAATTAAGAATATTAATAAAAATCACAATATATATTTCAAATTAAAAATAAGAAAGATACCTAATCAGGGGTTGGTTTGGTGACAGAAACAATATTATCAATTTTACTATTTTAATAATGAATTTAACTTTATTTCACAAATTAACGTATATTTATATATTATGTCGCGGCCGAAGTCAGTAAGGAACTGTCTCTTAAGTTTCTTCTTGGGTTACACATACAGAAGTATTACTTAAATTTTAAATTAAAATCATAATGACGGATATTGCATATCCAATGCAATTGATATTTTTATTTTGTTTTGTTTAGTTATTTTTAAATTTTTATATTTTTTAATCTTTTTATATTATATTTAGTTTTTAATTTACTTCGCTTTGTCTATAAAATTTTTGTAATTTTTCAATGACAATAAAGCATACCTACCCAGCCTTACCCAAGAAACCCTAATTGGGTTCGGCCAACATTAAAAGACATTATAAAGCTTAAATTACTATTTGATTGGTACTTAAATCATAAAAGTTTACACGCACCTATCATTTCGGAAATAGATAATTAGTTTGGATATAACCTACAGGATTATGATTTCTTGACCGCCAAACATAATAATAATAATAATAATAATAATAATAATAATAATAATAATAATAATAATAATGTTTATTTAAAAATTATGTAACAATGTACAAATTGATACAATAATAATAATTAAATAAATAAACATTTGTATCCTGCTGAGACATTGTTCATGTCTGTGTACAGGAATTAAAAATACAAATTTATATAATAATCCACTGTCGCTTCCTATATGCGTAACTATCAGACGACTACCTTTTCCAGACGGCTGTTTTAACCCAGTTGACAAGCCTTCAATAAAGGCTTGTCGTGCACTTGTTATATGACCATCCTGCCATACTTTTTTGACCGTATGTCCTTGGTTAACCCACGTCTCATCCATGTAGTAAATTTTTTTTTGATATTCCGAAATTCCTCAATTTTTCGGAGATAATTTCTTCTCCATACTATTATTTCCTGACGTTCAATGAGAATGCTTTTCCTGTCGACTTTTCTTACAATTTACTTACAATTCACACCGTATAATTCAAAACCCGATGTTACGCTCGTGGTTAGAAATACACTACTGAGAACGTCATCGACGAGATGGATTTTACGCGTAACAGACAAAGACACAAATATCGCTCCGTATACCGATGCCATTAGTTGTAACAAATACTGAACAATCCATAAAATAATTAATTTTAAATGATCAAGAAATGTATAAGTATTACTCATTACTGATTTTTGTTATAATTAATATCTTTTATTAGTACTATGATTGTATATTATCTATAATTTGCCACAACTTACAACTCTACTACTTACTCTATTTTGATTCTGCTAAAAACTAGTAAGGTAATATTGAGATATGACAACACGGTTCACTCTCAATCATTATTTGTTTGAGTTTAGGCATTCTAACGACCTGTCCAAATGGCTACCAGTGGGTAATGACAGTTTAGATATGGCAACCCTGTTGTCATGTTGTCATTAACAGGTCAATGATACATATATAGTTATATAGATTGTTCAAAGCTGGTCGTTTACGAGCGGCCATATTGCCTGGCAAATATTTATTAATTTGAATCGGTTTAGCAAAATGTGTTTTAAAACCAATTTTTAGCCTTCAGATATTTTAAAAAAAATAATTGCTTACATTTTTACTTCAAGGCATACGCTTATGTTTATTTTGAAAAATATGTATAATCAATCTATGTAACTATCTACTTCATTGACCTTGTCAAATCACCAGGCCTACAGGGTTGCCATAATTTTGCCATATCATAACCCGTCAAAACCCACTGGTAGCCATTCAGTTTGGAATGCCTAATTAATGCCCCAGTTGAAAAGTTCTGTAGGCGAGTTCGGTCAGTCAGGGGCTGGAGCGGGACAAATTTTAGGGTGCTTTTAAATGACATTTAAGCGTGTAAAACTGTCACTAATCGGACTAAACCGAACGCTAAAAGAGTCGTTTGGAGTTAAAAGTGTTAAAGGAGTTAAAGGAACGTGGCAAACCGAACGCAATGTGTGCCACTCTAAAAATTCCGAATCTACCGATCGCGTCTTACGTCATATGTCACATACATGTCATATTTGAAATGTCATAACATAACCCCACATAAATGTGTATGATGAAGTATTTTGTCATTGAACACCGTTATGTTTTTTGGGTTTAGTAAATTACTAAAAATTTCATATACCTTACAATTAAGAAAATATATTCATAAATACCTTTTTAATATGGAAACAGCCTATATACGACATTTAGATAATGGGGATCAATTTGAGATGGCTTTTAAGTATTCTAATGATGATCTTCGAATAAATAGACAATTCAATTTTAACAGAAGGCTTTCAGAAAGTATAGAGAGCTTTACTAATAGGGTTGCACAGAACGTTGAGAAGACTTTAAACAAGAAAAATAAAAAACGGAAGAAAGAAGATACCACTGATGTAGGCACTAAAATATGTGTAATGCTGTTACTTAACAATGTTGAAGTTAAAAAAGATGTAGAATGTAAAGAAGTGCTCCAGCCTGGTAATGACATTACATTGAAAGTTATGGATAAACAATTTAAAGTAATTGTTAACTCACCGTGGATTGTTAATTTTGCTCTGCCAGTTTCAATTCTTGCAGGTTTTCCTACATATCCTGCCAAGTTTGAAACTGTGTATACTGATAAAAACATATCTAAATTTATATGGTCAAAATCAATAGATGAAAAAAATTGGTTAATTATTGGGCATGATTTTATGTATACTCCCTCTAATGACGACATTAATAACTACTTAAAATTATCCTGTATACCAAAAAATGAACAATTTGAAGGACCAACTGTTGAATGTTTATCAGTTTGTCGTGTCGAGGCAAGCCCTGGTCAGTGTCCTTTTGAAACACGACATCTCTTTACAGAATTAAGGACTACAGAAAACGAGTAGGTGTAATTATTTTGCATTCATATTATATGATATAAAAACAGTTTTATTATATCTATATTGGTATTATGTTCATATTAAGTAAGTACATGGATTGAATTTACCGGAATTGACAATAAGGATTCCATTCCATTTACTAAGGAACATTTGCACTACTAGTCATTAAGAAATAAGCCAAGCTTAACCTGACAACATGATATAGTTAAAAAAAGTATGATGTAAAATCTACTCGGGATATTTGAAAATAATTTTTCATATTATACTTATTTAATTTTTTTGTTATTATTCTGGTGAAAATAAATTGCGTTTTTTTACAGATTAAGAGTTGTAACATATAACATATTGGCTGATTTATATTGTAACTCAGATTATGCTAGAACAGTGTTACATCCTTATTGCCCTCCCTATGCTTTGGAAATTGATTATCGAAAACAGCTAATCATAAAAGAAATTCTAGGTAAATCGTGATAATAAATCATTGACCTTTTTCTTCTAATACATTATTTTTTAGGTTATAATTCTGATATCATTTGTCTTCAAGAAGTAGACAAAAAAGTATTTAAATATGACTTAGAACCAGTACTAGGCCATTTGGGTTATGGCAGTAATTTTTATACGAAAGGAAATGAAGTAGCTGAAGGTTTGGCTATGTTTTATTACAAAAAACATTTTAACTTATTAGAATCCCACAGATTAGTCTTTTCAGAACACATAGCTACCGACGCTATATTTGCTGATATATGGATGAAAATATCTAAAAATGAAAATCTCGCGAAAAGGATTTTAGATAGATCTACCACTCTTCAAATTAACGTATTAGAATTATTGAATCGTGATGAAATATTAGTTGTAGCTAATACTCATTTATATTTTCATCCAGATGCTGATCATATTAGATTAATACATGGTGGTCTTGCTATCAGATATTTGGAGCACTTTATTGACATGTTGAAAACAAAGGTATTGTATTTGATTATTTGAAATTTCTAAGTAGAGTTCAAAAAGATATTGACTATTTTTTGTAAAATAGGTAGTTTATTTATTGTAAAATCGGAACCAAAAGTAGAAAAGTGATTTAATTGCTCTCAAAATATTTGTATGACTCTCATCTAAGAATATTAAGTCTAGGGCCTAGGACAGATTGATTTGTTCGCAAGTAAATTGATCTGTTGGTGTAAAAATTTACAATACTGATTGCAAATTGTTTTGGGATATGAAATATTTTAATCATTTTATCTAGCAGGAGTGGCAAAGACACAGCATCATATGCACCTTCGATGTCAAGGAAAAGGACAGGTTATGATTGTTTCTTGAGAAATTGTTTTGAATATCTACCACCAAAATACTTAAGGCATCCATTGTTCCAAAACCTCTTTTGAAACCATACTGATTTTCTAGAAGAAGCTTTTGTTGCATTAATCACCATTCAAACCTAAACTTAATCATCCTCTCTAGAATTTTAAGGACACATGAAAGCAATGATATGGGTCTATAAGGTTATGAATTTCTATGAATTTTTATGACTCTATGAATTTCTATGAATTTCCATGAGTTTCTATAAATATTTATGAATTTCTATGATTTTTTTTGTCTGTCTGATTAGTACTTCTCTTAGATTCGTTACCTTTGTTTTCATTCCTATTGTTTTATTTTACCCCCTTACCGTGACCTAGTGCATGTCTGTTTTTTTTTAATGCCTTGATGGGCCCCTAGGCGAGAAGCGAGTGTCCCCGTTATTTGAAATTAAATATTTAACGTTTTCTCTTTTTCATTCACTATTTGTTTGTTAATTTACCTCTTCCATTTTTTCCATTTTGTGACTGGCTGTATGACAAAGAGTCTATGCAAACAAAAATCTAAGAATATTACCCTTCGCGCATTTTTTATTTAACAGTTTTATCCCATTTAGCCTCTTATTCATTTCGAGGTTTCGTGAAAAATAGTATAATTTATGCATTTTGAGAGCAATTAAACCACTTTTCGACTTTCCGATTTTACAACTATTTTAAGGACATAATTTTCTTGGGTATCAACCTTTTCGCGGACACATGAAAAAATGCTTGCAATGTCATCTTAAATTAAGCGTTTAAGCTATGTCCCGTTTCGTAAAAAAAAAAACATAAATACCCAGTCACCTGGACAAAATCCCTACACCGGAAGTAGCAAAATTGAACGACAGAAAATATCTGCAAAGGGACTTTTTTATTGTTATAGACGTCTAGAAGCATATATTTCATTGCCAGCAAAATTAAGAACGAAAAACCATCGATAAACTACTTTGAATTTGACAGGTCTCACGACAGCTCTCATCACCGAGACATATTAAATGCATTTAAAAATATATTTTATTATCTAATATTTAAAAAACGAACTATATTAGTAGATACCATAAAAATTTGTGCATAACCTCAAATTTTCATCGTCACGCGTGATTTTTTATAAATTTCTATGAATTTGTATAAATTTTTATGAATTTCCTATGATTTTCTATGATTGTTTTATGAATTTCTATGAATTTCCTATAAATTTCTATGATTGTTTATGAATTTCTATTAATTTCTTTGAATTTCTATGAATTACTATGAATTACTATGAATTACTATGAATTTCTACGAATTTCTATGAATTTCTACGAATTTCTATGAATTTCTATGAATTTCTATGAATTTCTATAAATTTTTATGAATTTCTATGAATTTCTATGAATTTCTATGAATTTCTATGAATTTCTATGAATTTCTATGAATTTCTATGAATTTCTATGAATTTCTATGAATTTCTATGAATTTCTATGAATTTCTATGAATTTCTATGAATTTCTATGAATTTCTATGAATTTCTACGAATTTCTATGAATTTCCTGTGAATTTTCTATGAATTTCCTATGAATTTCCTATGAATTTCCTATAAATTTCCTATGAATTTCTATGAATTTCCTATGAATTTCTATGAATTTCCATGAGTTTCTATAAATATTCGTGAATTTCTATGATTTTTTTATCTGTCTGACCTGTCCTTCTGTTCGTTTGTCTGTTTGCTTGTCCGTCTGTCTATAGTCCTTTTGACAGTCATGTTTTAATCTTTATTAGCATGTCGTATCACATTAAATATTCAAATTTAGCCAAAATACGACCAATACTAACGTTAGTTATTAGTTTATCCATTTGAAAAAGGCAAGCGATATTCAACACGTAATTACATACAGATAACATCTGTGACAAAAAATGCTGTGCAGTAACCTGCTGAGTCATTGATTATTCTTTAAGGGAAGAAGGGCCTTAGTAACAAATCTAACCCTACCACTGGTAAGTTACACAATAAAAGATAAGACCTTTTGTATCTGACAACTCACTCTTTATTTCCGTCAGATCAACTGACTCCTGTAGACCCAGTAAGTATACATATAACATAAACTAAAACTAACTAAATATCATATATATACAGTAGCTTATTCCCACACCTCCCTCTTGAGTTCGTGATGGCATATTCCACATCTCCCTCTTGAGTGCGTGTATTGGTGAAGCTATCTGTTATTTTCTATATCTTTTTGATAAATCTTCTGTTTCTAATTAGAATTCGCCCACTTGGAGTTTTGATGGTGTATTTTCTATTCTTCCCTAACTCAACTACCTCTCCAATTGTATTCCATAATTTCGTTCTTTTGTCTTGAATTCTAACTTTAGCTCCTGCCGCGATCGGGTTTAAGTTTTTGGCATTTTGGTTGTAATGCGAAATAGCTTGCTCATGTGCTTTCTTTTTAAAATCCATATTTTCAACAGTGTTCTGCCACTCTTTAGAAAATGCCTTGTAATGAGCTGGAACCAATGATCTAATGGGACGTCCAAATAATATTTGGGCTGGAGAACGACCATCAGATTTGGGAACGTTTCGCCACTCCAGAAGTCCGGACAAAAATTTTTGCTCATCTAACTTACCACTAACTGTACATTTTAAGATTAGGTGTTTCATGGCTTTAACGCCAGCTTCTGCATGTCCGTTACTTTGTGGGTACTGAGGACTGGAGGTGCAATGAACAATGTTCCATGTTTTTAAAAATGAACTGAATTCAAAAGAACTAAACTGAGGGCCATTATCGGAACGAAAACGTAATGGTATACCTGTATCAGAAAATATTCTCCTTAAGTCGTTGCATATCATTAAACTATTAGGATCTCTAGATCCATAGTGGCATACTATAGGCCACCCAGATAACCTATCTACGTAAACCATATAATGTTTTCCTGAACTCGAAAAAAAATCAGCTGATACATCTTGAAAAGGTAACGACGGTAACGGATCGCTCATGTATGTCTCTTTCTGTAGAGACGGTCTGACTAGCTGACATGACTCACAACCTTCTACGGTGTTCTTTATGTCATTATTAATATTTGGCCAGAAAACTGTCTGACGTGCTCGACGCCTCGTCCTCTCTATTCCTTGATGAGAGTCATGTAATCTTTCCAGGACAGTTTTTCTTGCTGTTGACGGGATGACGATTTGACATCCTTTCAAAATTAATCCATCGTCAACGCTTAGCTCATCCTTGATACTCCAATATGGTTTTAATACTGGATTTACGTCATTTTTCACTTCAGGAAAACCTTCTTTTATGGTTTTTATCAAGACCTGATAAACCTCATCGCTTTTTGCGGCTTGTTGCAAGCTCATTAACATAGGGTCCTGAAGGTGTGACATTCTTATTAATTCATCAGTGTTATCAATTAAAGCAATCTGTTGAATAATAAATGACTGAATATGAGTATTGACTTCTTCTCCCATTAAGTCTTCATCCTTTGGAATATCTATGGGTGCTCTGGAAAGTGCATCTGGGATGCGGTGATCCTGTCCTTTGATCCATTCTGCTTTGAAATTGTATCCACATAGTTTTTCTTTAAGCCGCTGTAGACGAGGATTTTCGACCATATCTAATGTATAAGCATTTAAGATAGGTAATAAGGGTTTATGATCAGTGATAACTTTAAAGTCACTTAGTCCAAGCAGATACAGTCTACACTTTCTAATTGCCCATACTATAGATAAAAGTTCTATTTCTATCATTGAGTATCTGGTCTCTGTGTCTGATAAAAATCGAGACCCGCATTGGATCAATTTTAGACTTCCGTTATTATGTTTTTGCAGGAGTGCATAGCCTAGACCATTTAACCGTGACGCATCAGAATGCAATGTCGTTGGCAGTGATGGATCAAAATGGCTTAGTATAGGAGGTTTTATTAGAGCTTCTCGAATTTTATTAAAAGATTCATCATGGGCTGAACACCAAGTAAAATTGTTTTTTATTTTTAGCAATTCTCTTAGTGGACCGGCTATTTCGGAAATTCTATTAGAGAAATTTCCAAGCTGATTTACAAGACCCATAAATGATCGAAGTTCGGTTAAACAAGTAGGTTTTGGAAATTTTTGTATTGCTTGTACCTTCTTAGGATCGGCTTCAATTCCATTTACTCCAACGATGTAACCTACATATTCTACTTCTGGCTGAGCAAAGATGAACTTATTTGGGTTTAATGTAATTCTTTTGGCTCTGCATCTTTCTAAAAACGCTACTGTCTGTTTTACATGTCCGGCAAATGTTTCATCATATAATAAAACGTCATCTACTACTTTCTCCATGTTTTTAAAATCAGCTAAGGCTTCATCTCCTCTACGACAGAATTCATCTCCGGAACTAATTAGGCCCATTGGAGCTCTTAAAAACATGTAACGACCCCAAGGAGTGAGGAAAGTAGTTAACTTCTGACTATCTTCATCTAACAATAACTGCCAATATCCACTAGTAGTATCAAGAGTACTGAAATATTTAGCACCGCTTGCGATATTGGATACAGCCTCCCAAGGATATTTAAAAGGATGGATTGGTCTTTTTATAAAGGCGTTCAGTTTAGTGAAGTCTACACATATTCTAATTTTACCATTCTTCTTTTGTACTATTACAAGGGGAC